CAGACTCGGCTCTCAGCCCGAGTCGGCATTCTGGGCAAAAATAAAGATAAATGTACGTGTATGTTCTCTTGCCTTCATAGATTTTCTATGGCTGCTTGGAAGTCTGGCTGGAACGCCAATGATTAGTTAAACACGGTCAACTCAAATAAACTCAGTTGCTCCAATCAGGTTAAACGGTCCGGTAGGCATTGGATTGTACCTACCAGTTCAAGTTAGGTGATAACATCATTGCTATACCTGTTTATTCTGGGGGAAAGCAGTACAGAAGATATGCGATGTCACGGCACATCGGTCATAAACGAACACATTAAAAGAGTACTGTCAACGCAATTGCACTTTATAGAGAATTAAAAGTGGGACATCGTTTTTTACGCCCAGAAAAATTATTCTTTTATCTCTGAAAAGAGAAATAAAAAACGCGCATTATTACGAGAATAGACGGTTGCATCTAAAAAAATTGAAAGTTATACACACGATGTTTGAATCCATCAACCATCCTCCCAATACCAATTCAACAAAGCCAATGTTATGATTATTCGCTCAGGACATCCCAGATTATCCCTACTATATTGCGAGTTAGGCCGCCGATCTCTAGGGGAATCGGGCTAGATGAGACAGCAATAAAAACACAGCTACCTATAAAAGCCACGAAAGCGCGCAAAATAATTTTAGGGAGGAACCGATAAAGACAAGGGAGAGCGGAATCTCTATTTCTAGCTTATTAGCCGTCATTAGCCCGGTTATAACAACCCAGGTGTGGATCACCCGAGATTCGAACCTGGGACCTTTGCGCAAGGAACACAACACCCTAAGATAGCACCAAGGGTTCCTGGTTTTTGTCGGTTGCGATCGGGAGTAGCATAGAAGTAGGGCGCTCGCCGATTAAGTCATGCGTTGGAATTCAAAGTAGAGACCTCGCAGGCAGTCACATAGCGGCTTGTAATATAGAGTATGGCGAGTGCTGCATACTTTTCCTTAAACAGGATGAACACAGAGTTCAGTTTGCAAAACTTGAATTCAGTTCTAGCAGTCTGTAGGCTTCAAAATCACTCGGCAATTTAGAAACCTTTTTAAAACCGAAGGAAACCCTTCCTTTAAGAATAAAATTTAAAGAAGGCCTTAGTTTCTACCAAATAAGCAAAAGAGAGGATTTTTTCGTGCATGCTTTCCACGAACATATATTTGAAATTGTAAAGGCAGTTAAAATTAATGATAAAAATGCATACTATTTAGGAAGTCAAGGTAGGCGAACGAACGTTTTCGATTAATTCACCATCAGGCATGTACAATAATATTAAGGGGGTAGAGTTAGAAAAATTTTAAGTAACCAATCAATGGTAATTAAGGGGGGAGGAGGAATTGTTAAGAGATCAAAGGGGGGGACTGGAGGGGAATAGGGACGTGTCCTACAATTAGTTCATATCAACCGGTCACCTCTTCGTCGCTTCGCAGCATCTTGACACCAGTTGTCACTGTCTGCTCATCGTCTCGCGGCATGCTAGGAGGTGTGCAGACAGATGTTGAGTTTT